GATATTTTCAAAACATTTGTTTTTAAGGTTTACCTTCATCTAAACTAATAGATATAATGAATTAGACCCACATTATATTAAAGTGTTATCTATTGAGGTAATGTGAACTAAAAATTACAAAAATTCTATGATCTATATATTATCTTAAATGCTTTTAATCAGCTCTTATATAGAATCTTAGTTTTCTTCACTTGAATAGACTTTTTTATTGAAGTCATGATCTTTACATTTTTTTAAGACATCTATAATTTGTTTCCTATTCTATCTAACAACCGATAATTTCTCTTCCTTATCAAGTTGTTTTAATGTCTCTCCTTGTTGTAAGATTTATTATTCTAATTATCTTTGATTTGCATTATCTGAAAGATACCCAATACAGTCTTAAACTTTTTCCTTTTTAAATATTTCTATTATGACACTGAAAATTTATTCATCTACATCTTTAACTTAAGCAAAGATCTCAGTTAGAGCTTCCTTCTTCTAAAAAGTGCACTACATTTTTTTTCTTATTTTTAATATTGAATTTCTATTACTCTAACTTTAAGTTATATACTGCAAAATCGATAAAAGTATCTTAGATATTATCGTAAAGTAGAAGTTCAGAAATGTGTAGATTTGAAATTGATTATCATTATTTCTAAAATATACTTTTGAGAATTTAATTAAACATTTGATTTTTAATAATATATCTTTAATTCTATACGAAAAAAATTATACTAAATTTGAGTTATATGAATAATTAAATCATTTTCTTGTTAATCCTAATTTTAGAGAGTAAATACATGTAATTCTTAAGCTAAATGCTAAAGAAAAGTGTCATGAACAGACTCTTGCTCACTTTTGCTATGTGTAATGATGCATATTATAATTTATGGTTTGATTTAGAATGATTTTAGAGAAAATTAGGGTTTTCTTATCATGATGGTTTTTTTGTCATCATAAGAGGTCGGTGAGTAATAACATTCCTTTAATACTCTTCTCTTCCAGGTTCCCTTTGGTGGCTCAGGAGGTTTGTCTAACCTGATGAAACCTTGTTCTGGTTGAAATTAAGAGCTTGTGTAATTTTTGTTAGTTTTAAAACTATTTCTAACAAAAGTCGCAATCCCTAAACTTTTGTGTTAGCACCATCTCTACATTATAAGACCACTCATTACAACATCAACATCACCTAATATAAAATTTTAAAAAAAGCTCTTTTTACTTTACCACTAAGATATTTGGGTTTGTAACTGATGTAGTATTGTTTTATGAGGGTTTGGATGGGTGTTGCCCATGGATTTTAAGGTTGTGACTTTTGTAGCAGGGTTTTTTTTTTAATAGTGATGATATTTAAGGTTTGAGACAGGTGTTACACATGCTTTCTTTTTTAGAATGGAGTTATTGTTCAAATTTAAAAATCACCTATTCCTTCAGAGGTAATAAAAAAGAAAATAGAATATTAAGGGATATATATTAATTATTAAAAGTACACAAGATTATCTATTGTCAAATATTCTCATTTTCTTGTGATCACCCTTACCTAAGTTCAATCCCAAAAAAAATAATCAGATTATTAAAAGTTTTTCTTACATCAACAAATGGTAAAGAATTTTAATAAATTCTATAATTGTATTGAAAAAATTATTAATTTCAATTCCTAACTTCTAATTTAAGATTTATTACAACTTGTTTTGGGAATGAGCAAGATCTTGTTCAGAAACATTCTAATCTCTTAATAGTTAACGAAAAAATTACAATTATAAAACCTCAAGGATAGGCATAAAAAAATCAATCAATCATACAACTCAAAATTAGAGTAAATTAAATTTTTCATATTAAGATCATGATATTCTATATTATTTGAAAATCAAGCAATACAAATACTACTTCTTTTATGAAAAATCCCAATCTACAAAAAAGTCTAAACTTCAACTTTATAAAAATACATACGATATTTTTACCCATTTTTGGAGTATATTACGTAAAATTAGAGTAATTGAAATTCGATATTAAAAATAAAAAAAAAAATTATGAATGGCATTAATAAATAATAAGAAGATCTATATTATAGTTTTGCTTAAGTAAAAGATATAAATGAAAAAATTTTTCCGTCATATTAGAAATAAATCGTGAGATATGGTGGAAATGAGATGTTGCAACTGAAAAGATGATTTAAATTACAAATATTCTCAAATAAATAAAAACCATGGCTTTAACAAGAAAGACTAATCCACAGAAGAAAATTAAGAATCTATACATCGTCTAATGAATAGTATAAAAGATGAGAGATAGATGATAGAATTGTTGTAATTTTTAGTTCGCCTCACATCCATTGATACAACTTTAATATAATGCGGGTCTAATTCATTACATGTATTAGTTTAGATGAAGGATAATCTTTGTTATAAAAAATTTTGAAATTTTAACATAAGTGCGATTAATTTGAATGGAGCATTATTATTGAATTCTTAATGGAACAATTTAAGAATCCATTAATTAAATAAATTAAATGGACATACTAGTTCAGTCAATTCTGTCTGTTTTTCTCTCCTGATGGAAATACATTAGCATATAGTAGTAGTGATAAATCTATTGGTTTATGGGATGTCAAAACAGGAAACTTAATAGCAAAATTGAATGGTCATACCTCCATTGTCTACTCACTCTGTTTCTCTCCTGATGGATATATGCTAGCATCATTGTAGTAATGATAATTCTATCAGTTTATGGGATATAAAGAGTGGATAATAGAAAGAGATATTAGATGGTCATCTTAATGCTGTCGTGTCAGTATGTTACTCTCCTGATGGTGGCACATTAGCATCTGGTAGTTTCAATAAGTCTAATCGTTTATGGGAGATAAAAATACAGTAATAAACAGCTGAATAAAATCGTCATGCTAACACTGTCTAGTTAGTCTGTTATTCTCATGAGGAAAATTTACTAGCTTTTGTTAGCGATGATAATTTTGTCCAATTATCGGATGCTATTACTGGATAAGAAATTGAACAATCTAAAAAAAATTACAAAGAAATTTTAGCAAAATTTGAAAAGCTTCTTTCATAAAAGATTTTTCAAGGTATTAAATATTTTATAGAGATTAGTTGCCAACTATTGTAAAAATCCATGTTAT